GTGGTTGGGTTTACCAGCTGATCCACAGTCTTAAACAGAAACCTGGTATTGTGTTTATGTGTAGTAATGAGTTCAGAAAAATAGTGTGTTCTCGCATCCTTAACCATGTTATTGTAGTTAATTAATAAATCCTTCAGACTGAGATGGACTTGGAGACTGGATTTTTTCCATCTGCGCTCTTCTTTCCTGCATTCCCTTTTTAGGCTGCGAATGCTGTTATTTATCCAGGGTTGCTTACTAGCTTTAGAAGTAGGCCTAACCTTTAGAGGAGCAGTGATATTTAGTGACGACAAGCAGATATGATTGAAGTGATCGACCAGATTGTTGGTGTTGGAATCAGACAGGTGTTGGCTTTGGCTCTGAAACACTTTGTTCATTAAAGATGCGAGAACACACGGAGCTTGGTGAGGCAGCATGAGTAACAGGCGAATCGCAGCTAAAAACGTTACATCTGTGGTCAGATATGGTCATGTCCACTAATTCCACAGAGGAAATGCTGACAGGTCCAGTGTATGACCACAGTTATGCGTTTGCCCTTTGACATGTTGTTTGAAGAAGTGGCCATATTTAAAAAGTCAGTTGCATTAACATTGGTGGGGTCATCAACATGAATATTAAAATCGCCACAAAGAACAATTCTGTCATAGTTTAAAACCAGAGTAGATAAAAATTCAGGAAGTTCTCCAGGCGGTTTTGGGGGGCGATAAATTATAAGAAGTATGATTTCCTATACACGCTCACTAGCCCACAGCCACGACCACTGACCCTTGGTTGACTAAAACAATCACATTGAGGTGGACACAGTTCAGCTAGCTGGCTATAGTCATTCATTTGCAACCATGATTCAGTTAAAAACATAAAATCTAGATTTGCAGACAAGATAAAATCATTTAAGATAAAAGTCTTACTTGACAGAGATCTCACATTGAAGAGAGACATTTTAAATGAGTTTGTTCTGGGTGCTGGAGTTGGTGCAGTTGTCCTAATCCTTATAAGATTACTATGATTTCTGTTTGGGAAGTGCACATTTCGGTTTACTGGTCTATGCGTGATGGTGACAGGAATAGAAGTCTTTGGAACAGTGCTGGGAGCAGACGGCTTTACATGCCAGCAGGTGGAGACAGTTATAACACACAGGCAGAGGAGGAGAGGCAGCCCCATCCGAGCCTCTCTTGCAGCCACGGACCACCACTTCAGCCCAGGTTGACTGATGCTTCGGAGTCGAGCAATCTGTTTGGCTTGTACTGAAGCCATATCCATAAAGCCAGTCAATGGGGAATCTTTCTCTTTGAGTTCCTCTGAAAGTCGTCAGATGTCCTCCATAAGGTCAGCAATCTTTTTGTTCGCTTTCTTAAGGAGTATGCAGTCCTCATGGGGCAGAGTTATCTCGGTTAGCATAACGCTAGCCGGAGCTTTGTTGTGGTCAGTAGCGTTGATAGCGTTTTTACGGTCATCTAGCTTAAAATCCATGTCGGATGACTAAAATCCTTAACCCACATAAAACTTAAGTTAAATAAAAGGATATAAAAAATGTAATGTAAAAGTATGGATTAAAACTGGATAAGAGTCAGGTTTAAGACGGAGCTTTTGACAGGTAGCTACAGACGCCAGTGCATGCGCGTAGAGCCACGTTTTCCGGTCTTTTGGACAAATAAACACCTGTCGTCGGACTGGATTATGCTCTGACAACTACGCCGTTTGCTCACGAGAGGAGCTCGGAGTTAACAGCTTTTATTAAATTAGCTTTTTACTTTAGTTTTTGGGATTACAACGTTGAATTATCTTCACTCGAGCTTCTCAGCAGCTAGATTCCGTGCACATCTGGTTCCAGTGTTGTTAGCGCCGTTTGGCACGCAGAGCTCTGTTGGACTACTACTTCATATTTATATAAAAAACAGACAAAACTGGACATTGCTGGGAAAAAAGAAAGCAAGGAGGTTGAACTACTTGGTGAGTTCAGAAAACATGTGTATGTAACTTTATTACAGCTATCGTACTTTACTGTGACCAAGTTAGCGTAGCATAGCCCTGATCGATCCGAACTCCATTCAGAAAACAAACATTTTAGTGTTAAGTTGTTGTCCTGCTGTCTTGCTGACAGACCTGACAAAGCATGAATTCATATGTTTAACAAAGCTGCATCATATTGTAGTTATTTAGTTTAGTTGTAGTTACTTTTACCTCATTATTTGAAGCTTTGGTCATGTTTAACATGAACATCTGATGTTGTAACGTTATAGATTTGCCAGAAAATATGAAAAAGCATAATAGGTCCCCTTTAAAGTCGGATTGCATTGGACCCAATGGTAAAATTACCCTACTTCTCAATACAGCATGATGTTCATTTTGTAAATTATAGATTTTGTATAAAAATACAATAAAACAGGGGAGGCTTTAGGGCGTGGCTACCTTGTGATTGACAAGTCGCTAAAATGGCAGACTGTCAATCAGGATAGAGGCTACTTGTATCCACTGCACTGTGTACATTTGACCAGCTGCAATTAAATAGCAGTGGACTTGTGTGCTGTGCTTTTAGTGTGTTTTCAGGACATAAAAGTTAATTGTAATATTTTGGTTGCCTAAAAATGTCTCGTTCAGTGGTTGGTTGTGCTAAAAGACACGACTGTTTCTTTATTCTGGTCAGTACATATTGTTTTAAACCTGTTTTTCACTAGCCAAAATTAGCTTCCCAATTAATATCAGAGTAAAGGTAAATTACCCTTTCGTCCAAATATGGTCACGTCCAGTCACATCTGGTTCCAAAAAACCAAGATGGTGGCAGCCAAAATGCCAAACTCGAGGCTTCAAAACGGTAGTCGCCAAACCAATCAGAGACTTCACATTGGCTACGTCCACTTATGTTACACAGTCCAACCCACATTCACTCCAGTGACATCACATGTGGCAATTCTTCAAATTTTACGCAGCTCCCCCTGGAGCCACTAAAGGCTTTATACAAGACCTGTAAAGAGAATTTGATATGTAAAATCAGTGGGTGTTCCATCCATCCATCCATCCATCGTCAACCGCTTATCCTGCGGCTGCGGGGGGCTGGAGCCAATCCCAGCTGACAAAGGCGAAGGTAGCCAGTCCATCGCAGGGCCACACATAGACAAACAACCACTCACACTCACATCCACACCTAAGGACAATTTTGGAGACACCAATTAACCTAGCCCGCATGTCTTTGGATGGTGGGAGGAAGCCGGAGCACCCACGGGGACACGGGGAGAACATGCAAACTCCACACAGAAAGGCGGTGGGTGTTCCACTTTAAGAATATTCAATATGTTTGTAGAAGTTTGGAAAAATGTGTAAAATGATGCAGAGAACCAGAATATATTCATTTGGTTTTAACTGTGCAGCTGTAATTTCATTGATAATTTGCACAGTAAGCAGCATAAATATACAATGACTGCAATGAAGCTGATAAAGAAAATACATTCCTTCAAAAGGAACTCAAGGTGAATGTGGAAAGTCCAGCGTTAAATGGGTTAACTCCTGCAACTGCTGATCTCAGCCGGGCCCTTTGTTTGAATCAGCTTGTTGTGGGGGTTTTTTCATATTAGAGACTTTCCACTTTTCACCCTAGTATCTAGCGAGGATGTTACTTTAAATCCGAGGCAGCAATATTTTAAAGCCCAAACCACACTGAATAAAATCCCCTCTCTTTTTATTGTCACTACTGAGATTAATAATGATCTAATATTTCATTGATCCCTGCAGGGAAATTCTTCTTCCACTCTTGCTCTGTGGAAAAGGTTAGCGCACAAAGGCCACATACAGAACAGCAAGTCTGAAGCTGGATGGGACTCAGTGACTTGCTCAAATGCTCTTCAGCAAATAAACCCAGGGCCACCCGGCTGAAGAAAAGTCTCGCTACCAACAATGTCACCACCTTGCTTCTGCTAGTTAGTGTTCGTATATAGGTTTTACACCCACTTGATATTATGTGACACTAGAAATTGTTATTGAGCTCCATCATTAAAAAACAGAAACCTGTCTAAAAGAACAAAGTCTGAAAATTGCAATAGAATGATGCTGGTGCATAGAAAGAGAAAATAAATCAAACACAACCTCCTGAATGCAAAACTGCATTTGTTTTGACAAATTAACCAAATACCACAATGCAAACAAGTTTGAGCACCAAAAGGAAAAAAAATGAATTAGCAAGAATGAACCTTTTATGCTACATAAAATGTCAGGACTTCAGAGGCCTTGCTGATGCTGTCCTGTAAACACTCTCTTGCATTACCACATATCCAATTTAACAATCAAATCTGTATAGAATTTAACAATCAGAGCTGTATAAAAAACAGTCTGCTATTTTTAGCAATGCACTGACCTCCTCGGTATTATTCTCTTTCACTGGTTTAACTTTGTCCTGGATGTTTATTTTCTGTTTTATTGTCCGATGCTATAAATAGAGTAGAACAGAAAAAAATGTGCACTGTCCATGTCAAATTCTGTGACCTGATTAGGAGTTTCAGCTATAGTTCCGTTTTTTCTACTATATGGTCGCATCCTCAATTTCAATAGCATGTACCAAAAATAGTATCACACCATCTGACGTTTAGACAGGGTCACACAGTCAGGAGCCTACTGATAGCTGTGATTTCAGAAACAGGTGGTCTGCAGGTCGTCCTGTATGTCAGCTCACCTTTTAATATTTGGTCAGTCTGTTTTTTCTATAGCCTAATTGACCCTGCAGCGTCAGATAATCTGACGAGTCACAAATGTCGTTGTTAACACCTGGACGGACACGAAGGGACACACAGGACAGGACAGCCAGACGGACTGATATCAGTAGCATACAGACCGGGCTGAACGGTCCACAGGACTGGGCTGTTTGACACGCAGAGGTCTGTTTTGACCGTCGCGCATTCCTACAGATTGTCTCCATCCATGCAGCACGCGGCTGTGCGCGCGCCAACATCCAGCCGCACGAGACGTGGTTTTCTACCTGTTAGCACGAGTCTATGTATGTAGTGCTCCCTTACCTTTTCCTCTCGTCTCCTTTGACATAGTGTCCTCTCCCGTGTGTCTGTTTGTCTCTCTGTCTGCGGTCACTCCGTAAAGCCGTCGGGTTGCTCTGCGCAGAAACGTTTACTCGGATAGTTAATTAAACAGCGGCTCTTCCTCCGCCCCTCTCCTGCTTGCTGCACCTTGACGCCTGCCAGACTGAGGCAGAGTGAAGCAGGCACGGGGAGCTACAGCTGCCGTCTCGGTCTCCTCTCACCGTGGACAGAAAGAAAAAGAAAATCAAAAAGGGGAGAATCTGCATTTGCTCTCATTCACCTGTGTGAAGTCGATCCGCCCCTGCCGCAGACATAGCCTACTTTGGGTGTTTGTTGTATCTGTGCAGACTTGGCTCACATGTCATGCCCACCCAGCTCTCGTCCCTGTCTCCTCTCCGCCGCTAACATCAGTCAGAGTTCCTCCGAACAAGCTCCGTTCTGCAGCTCGACTGCCTCCAGCGGTGCGCGCCCCTCCGCGGCTAGTGATGGGCGCCCGTCCTCTTTCCTATATCCCCGTTTTCTGACTTTGCAAAATTCTCCAGAAGAAGTGTCCTAAATGAAGAAAAACTGATTTTCTGCTCCAGTGACTTGTATGCATCAAAAACGCAGAGAGGAAAACGCAAAGAAAGGCTTTAATGTGGAAGCCAGTTACCAGCCATGCATCGTCATTGGCAGGACTCAAAAAAGGAATTCAGGAATTCCAGCAACTACTAAATACAAAGTAGGTCACAGTCTATATAGAGTAGCCTGTATTGCGTATGCAGGGTGTCCTTGTTACTATCAGAGGATATACAGAAGATGAGGTGAAGAGCAAATCAAACCACAATCACAAGTCTGTACACAGATAGTACATGTATTACACTGAATATCCAGTATAAAATAGATACACATACTACATATAAAAGAGAATATATGATATATTAAAATGAAGGAGGACAATAAATACATACACAACATAATCAAGTCTATAAATTAAACAGAATATCACATTTAAAGCAGATAAAAGTCGTTCTAATGTCACACAAATAGCCCCTGTTGTATATTTTCCCCTTGCAGGGTGTGGTTGTTGCTATATAAAAGAGGATATTAGAAAGATGAGTTAAAAGGATGAAGCAGCAGGTGCCACCTTGGTCAAGTAGGGGCAGTCATCCACACAGAAGAAAACATCTTTTGGACTGTTTGGAAGTGTTAAAATAAAAGGAACCCTATCAAAATAAAGTTGTCTGCACAAGCAGGAAGTGTGTTTTTTATCTCTCTCTTTTGCTTTCTAGGGATAAAAGAGAAATGAAGCATATGAATCATGTTCCCTCAGCTATTAAATCCTTTAAATCCAGTTGTGAGATCTGGTCTAATCTGACAGATGCTTTACCTAATGGGTGCCTCTAGTTCATTTTTAAGCGGATCTTGACCTGCGCCACTGCAATACTTGACCTAAATTGCTGCAAAATAGGATTTCTCAATGGGCCCTTATGGCAAACATTACACACTATAGTACGTGATGTAATCATGATGTGACACCTGCTATGTTGATCCCTCTTCTCCTCATACGTGACCACACATGAGGTTGCACAGGATGGTCTGGTTGCGGCATCATTTGGCAGCAACATCCACACAAATGAATATTGATAGAGGAAAATGCCTGTGGCCAAACCATCGCCCTGGAATTTGAGAGCCGGACACACTACATTACCTAACTCTACTAGGAATACATGCAGCCACTTTGTATTTATCATGACAGCAAGTGACAATACACTTTGTAGCCCAGAACACCCCACTAAGAAAAACTAATAGGAAAAGGCCTTAAGGCCCAGAAAGCCAGCAAGACAGATAGCTCTGATTACACCAAATGGCTGCACTGACTGGATCCAAGTGGAGAAAAAAAGGGTAATTAAATTAAGTGAATTTCTTTCGCAAGAAGAATTCTCTCCATGCTGTTGGGGACATAACTCTGATTGTACAGCGCTTCCACATCAGAAGAGATTGAGAGCTGATTTTACCCATGACACACCAGCATCCAAAAGAAAGAAACAAATCAAAATAACCCACATTTCTGGGATGATTTAGAGCGCTAAAATCCAGGCAGCTCAAATTCATGGTAACTTTAGACTTTGATAAAACATAGTACAGGCACACAGAAACTCAGTCTTGTTGTGTGTGGTGTTTACGGGGATAGATTACCGCTGTGAAAACGGAGGCAAGACTTGTTTCAGCAACATAAGGCTTTCTGGGAGCCAGCCATTAAAATGTCACAAAATACATCAGTCAGCAAACCGGAATATAGCACCTAAGGTGCAGATTTGTTGTTGTTTCCTGTCTGAGAAAACAATTCAGTGAACTTGTGGGAGGAAAAGCACAACCAACAACTTAGCAGAGCCCATGGAACTAAACAAAAATTTAATGATTTCTGCAAAAAATATGATGATTTATACTAAAATATTCCTCTGCCTTTGTTTCACAGTGACTCTTACATAAGGCGAAATAGTGGACTGGCTCTTCTCCTTCACATTCAGGGATTGAGTGACACATTACATTGTATTATTCCACTGTTCACTGTCTACACATTTAATTTGGTTGTTGTGACCCTTTTGTCCTTGCTATCACATCATAACCTTTTTATTTAGATAATAAGTAATGTTGGTCTACTGGTGAAATTGGATTATGAGGAAATGCACAGCGCATGAAGAGTCTTTCCTCAGGCCAATAGGATGGTGAACTCTGAAGCCTGACCTCGGTATATCCTCAGGGAACCCTATGCACTGCGCTGCGCTGCACGTTGCATATTTGCACTTACATTAACACTTTGTTTTTGTTTTGTTTTTAACATATATTTAAAATGATTTGTCTTGAATTTATATCCTTTACATTTCTTTTTCCTAACCCTACTATTAACTTAAGGAGCATGCCACATTGCATTTTGCTTCACATACCTGTGTGAAAAATAATGCTTTGAATTCTTGAACATGAGGTCTAATATTAAAATTTTAAATGTTTGATGACTGTATCCACTACAGGTGGGAAAAGTAACTACAGTACATTTATTTAAGTAAAATTCTGAAGTACTTGCACTTCACTTAAATATTTATATTCTATGCTACTTTAAACTGCATTTAGAGGGAAATAATGTGCTTTTTACTCCACTATATATATATTAATTTCACAGCTTTAGTTACTGATTACCTTGCAGATCAAGATTTGCTTCAGACATGTGCTTTGAGGTTGACAGATAATCCTTTCACTCTTATAATCCATCTGTGTGAATTTAGTTGGCTATCTGCAGGGACTGCTTCCTTACTTCTTTCAGACAATAACTTCACAACTAGCAGCTAGATCTGAGACCATTAATTATCCGAATAAAGCAAAGCTTCAAATTTATGATGTAAACAGCCAAAAGCTACCCAGCAGTCACAGGCGCTTAAAGATCTCAGACAGCAAATGAAGCCTCAAAAAATTGACTAAGAGGAACTTACAGTGGGAAATGTTCTGTGTAAAACACAAACAATGCCAGTATTTGCAGGATAGATCGCCCTCCGACAATTCAGCTCCAACCGGCTCCCAACAGAACCTCCCCCGAGAATGGCAAACATGACTAATAAGCCATAAGATTTCATATCCATCTGGTCCGAGCCTCAGCTGAAAATGTTTCGAAAGCGACCAGGTGTCACAAAGCTGCCTTGATGTACCTGTACTGCAAAGTTCCCCCTCAACGCATCATGAATATATTGCAGTCATCTGTGTCCTCGGCAGTTCTGAAATTATCTCTGATAATGAGTCAGTGCTGTTTGGCAGCAAGGTCGAACCTCTTTGACCATTACAGATTAAAATAATGTGCAAAAAAGTGCTAGTTCTGCTCTGTGCACAGTTACATCTGTTTGTGAATGTTAATGTGTGGAATCAATAAAAGCACACAGAGTCAAATAAAATTTGGCATTACTACAATGTTCCTAAAGAAATACATATTTAAAAGCAAATGGCAAAGTGGGGAACTGATTTCACAAATGCAAAGGGTGGCTTGCTGAGGTGGCAAAAATTAAAATATATTCATCTTTGTCTTTTAAATGTCTCTTGTCAGACAGGTTTATAACTTCTGAACCACCACAAATAATTATGACTTAGCTCTTGAAAATTAACAGAATCATTTCATGTGTTTAATGTCTCCTATTCCACAATGTCAGAACAACCTCAGTACTTTACATCAATATAAAGACAGCAGCGCTCCTCCAAGCTTTGAGCCCACAGATTTCTATTTGTCCTAGATCGAAAAGAATTCTGCACTGAGCTCAAGCCTGTGAAAGCCTGCACGTATTCAAACGCCCACACAGAACCTAGCCTGAGAGAAAATAGGGGCAGCTGATTCAACGTGAGCTAATTCATTCAGTCACTATATGTCCCCTGTCAAAGGCTGATCCCCACAGGCCAGCATAACATCTGGATGTGTCCCCTCTGTTCTGTCTGCATGGCTTTCATGTCGCTCTCAAGGGACATTTTCTTGGTCTGCCAAACCCATCCTGTTCATTTTGCATTCCGAATTAACACTTTCCACTATTATTATGCAGGATTCAGGTGGCCAGTAGCAACAGTATATAAACTAGTGAAATTATATTGTGTTTTTCTCTGTTGAAAAAATGAACCAAAATTCAGAAAAGCACTGAAAAGATTACAAAGTGGTACTAAATCAATTTAAAACTCTAAAACAAAGACTTCCCTTTATTTAGACAGTACAGCATAAGAGAAAATCAACTTACAAAAAATTAAACACATGATGTCCTTGGCTTTGTACATCATTTGGGTGGAGGTCTAATGTAATTCATTTATTTCCATATGCCAAAATGAAAATAGAAAGTGTGAGTAATGCGGAGAGATTTAAACCAAGTGCAAGGCTGTAATTTTATACTCCTCTGTAATGTTGTAAAGGTCTCTTCAAGCTTATCTAAACTAAACTAATTTTCCCAGAAGTAGCAGGCAGATACAGATGGGACATGAAAACTGATGTGACTAATGCTCCCTCTGCAATTCAACAATATAATCTGCTGCAGCTTCATTAAAAAATATCTACAATTCCAATTAAATAAAGTTATCAGAACAAATTAGAGTTCTATAAACACTGTATGTACAAATTTGTACATTAATAAAATAAGTACATATGCTTCATTCCAAAATGAAATATCCGCCTGTGAAACTACAGAAAAATAAATAAAATAATCGTAGTCCTTGGTCGACAAAATGATCTTTGACCCATGATATTTAATAACAATTTGTAAGAAACTGCTACATCCATGATGCTGTACCATCCTACTGGCTGACCAAAGCCGCAGCTGAAGCAGGAGGTGACTGGATTGGCTGAAGAAACTCAGAGGTGAAGACGGCCTCGGCATATTCCTCCACGACGTCCTGAAACTCTGCTGCCACATCAGCCAGGGCCTCCGACAGCAACTCTTCTGCCAGGCTGTGGGACAGGAAAGAACAGAGACATTAGAAAGATTTTCCTTAAAACCAAGTTGTAATGACAGCTCCTGAAAGTCTGCCATTTTGGACAGTTCTACCTAAACACTATAAAGAATCTACACCGTGTGATTGTTATAATATAACCTATTACTGCCAATAAATTTGAGACTAGACCTTTTAAAAATTGCTAAATAAAAAGGTTATGGGTGTTGGCAAAATAGTGGCTTTCAAGATTTCAAAGAAAAAGTAAGCAAGTATCAGCCTTGTGTCATTATCTTCAAAAATGCAGACCAGTGTGTCTGCTGGCTTTCAAAGCTGGACATAGAAAACTCTCTGAAATTTGTGCCATGCCTTGAAAGACATGGAATGAACAAAAATAACTCAAAAGACTGGGGAGCTGGGTGCAGCATTTAGCTAAATTTCAGTGTTTTGATCATTATCTGGGTCAACACATTGAGATTGAAGAAGGGGCAGAGGGGACTAAGGAAAGTGGCATACACTCCTGGATCTCACAGCCGCAAAAAAAAGTCCAACCATTTGGTTGTCACTGCAACTAAACAATTAGAGTAATTGAACTACCTGTACCTTTGTAGAGTCAATACAAGAATACTTTGCTCTCAAACACTGGACACTGGGTGAAACAAGAATCTGCCATTCCACATTGGGAACAGCTATTAGGACATTTTAATATCATTAATATGCTAAAAGCAATGTTGCTGTATATGTACATGTAATGAAATCCCACCACGAATATGAAATTAGCTATTAGTAAACATGCACAAGCTTGAAAACAACATCTAAAAAAATATTATCCTACTCTGTTTTGCTGTGCATTTCCATATCCATCTGTCCACCAAGCTGACAGAGTAAAAAAAAATGCATTCAACAACTTCAAACGAAGCTTAAAATAGCTTGAAGTTTGTATGTTTACTGCATTTTGGCTGTGGTGAAGTTTTGCACTCAATCTGTTAGCAGACTGAATGAATGAGATCCTCCAGGGGGTTTGGCTCCACAGCAACATTATTATCATTAGCATCTCATTGCACAGACAGTTTCTGCACTGTGTCAGAATAGCAGGGGGTGTACATGCCTGAATGTATGTGTTCTGTCTCAAAAAAACACTGAGCTAATTGGATGGTTTCTCCTCACACAATATCCTTATTTTTCTCCAAATTCAGAAAAGTACAGATCCCACTCTTCAAAACTTCGGCCCATTGATGTATGACTGATAATGAGCCAGTGACACAAGCAGTCAGATCCCATGGGTGGGACTGGGTTGATAGTTTTTTCAGCTCTGAATTTAAGCAAAAACAATGTATTGAGCTGTTCCCACACACATCTGTGACACAGAGAGAAAAAATACTTTAAAAAGTATATTTTAGGAGTTTAGAATTGATACAACAAACACATGGATTCAGTACGATCACAAAAAAGAGAGGAAGTTATCTGCATTGCAGCAACTTAAGAATTCTGTTAAGTATGCAAATTTGCGTGTGGGAGAGGAGAACAACGGTGAACATGAGAGACGCACTATGCAAACCATAACCTTTGCATTATCCTCTCAGTGGGAGCACTTGAGACTAAACATTATGTCCGTCAAACACGCCCAGGGACACAACAGAGAGCAGGAAGGACAAATTTCTATGTGGCTCTGGTTACAAAAACTGAAAATGTGATACTTCTAATATGTAAGTATTTTTATAAAATCTGAAATACACAAAGATTACTGAAAATATTATTAGCAACCAGAGGGGCATTAAGACGTTAGGAAAACTTTCACTGTTAGTCTTTCACCTGTCTGCGATGGCCCAGGGGTTGAAGCTGCCGACAGCCTCGTGAGCCACAACACGCAGGTAGGCCTCGTAGTCTTCCCGGTAGCGCCGGACATTTCTTAGCATGCTGCCCGGCACAGAGATAACAGTCCCCCTGCTTCGCTCCACTGGGCCTGGGAACACGGCATTGTGTCTGGGCTGCTGTTCGTCTTGGGATGCCTCCTCTGTCAGGCTGTTCTCAGAATTGATATTGTGTCTGAGGAAACACAAGGCCAGGCAGTCAAGTAGATATCCACCAAACCTTTTCATTACCTTGACCGTTCAAGACTGTAGGAAGTGGGTAAAGAGCTTCTGAGGGGCTGCAGCTGTGGACAAGAGGGAAACTCGTTTATTGACGAGGGGGCCTGAGTGGAGCGCAGCGCTGTGATTAATCAGAAACACATGCTGTGCCCCGATATCGGCTGAGAATGATGAATTCAAAAGAGGTGTCAGAGCACAGGCTGGCTCCCTCTCCTGCCCCCTCCTCAGAGTGAGTAGGGGCTCAGCTGGGCATTGCCATAGTCTGGCTTTATAATCCTCTCTGCTTGGACAAATCAGCCTGGCTCTTGCGATGGTGCGCTCGGTGCTATATTTAGTGTTGCAGCAGCTCCCAAAGCAAAGTGCCTCTCTATTGTGCTCAGCTGAACTTGTTTCTGTTTTGACTGCGGGGGCTGCAAAGCGTGGGGTGGTCATAAATATCAAAGTGCCAGCACAGTTAACTCTGCTGCCACTCCGAAATGGGTTGATTTACTGTCTGATGGGCATCTGAGGGCCAACACAACAAAACAGCAACCTGCAAATTCACTGCCTATTCATGAAGTAAGAATAGCACCCACGCGTTTTGTGCCATATTCAAAAATGAACAAGAACCAGGCTGCCTTTCCTGTCAACAAACATCCTAAAAATATTCTCCAAGGGCAGAATTAATCTTGCCTATATTGTATATCTGTGAAAAAGTGATGTGATGTCACTGAAATGTTGTGATTAAGTGTTCACGGAACCATCTTACTGTATTCTGCCCTATAAAGCTCAATGAGAGGGCTCAAGGAAAAGGAACAACCTTATATGATATCTACAGTGAATATTACATTAAACCGGGTGTGTTCACAAAGGTGTGTATGTGTGTGTTTCTGTATGGAACGTGATTGACAGAGGAGTACAAATATGACGGTTGAATCACATACACAGACAAAAAATAAATAAATCTTCTACCCGTCACATTCACCCACCTACAACTTGCACAAGGCATACCTAACCAAAACAGATAAACAGCACCAGCAACATCACCTCAAGTGACTTTCAAGTTTGTCTTCTCATTTCTCTAAAAAAGTGCCAGCCGTGTATTGCCCAGGAAACCAAGGCCCTGGCAAAGGACTGCGCCATATGCGATATATCAAAAGGGATGCAGGCTGCACTGAAGCTGAGCTGGACAAAGATAAATGTGGCTCAGAGATTGTCACGGGGGGTGATCCAAGCGAGATTCACAGAAGCCCTGGTGAGCTTTTGAAAACAGTATTCCCGCCCCAATCAGTGTGGTAAGAATCAGGTGGAGGATGACTAGTGTGGAAGATAATCTATAGATTGTTGCAATTTTCTTGTTTATTCAATAATAGGGCTGCAATTAACAATTATTCTCAATGTCAATAAATCTGTTGATTACTTTCTCGATGAATTGATCAGTTGTTTGGCCAAGAAAATGTTAGAAAATGTCGATCAGTGTTTCCCAAAGCCCAAGAAGACGTCACAGAATGTCTTGTTTTTCCACAATCCAAAAAAGATATTCAGGTTACTGTCATAGGAGTAAAGAAACCAGAAAAAAAATCACATTAAAGAATCAGAGATGTTTTTTCTTTTTAAAAAACTACTTAAAGAGACTAATCAATTATCAAAATAGTTGGCAATTAATGTAATATTTGGCAACTCATTGATTATAGGTTGCAGCATTATTGAGTAATGCATGGTTGATATACCAAAAATGTTAATATAAGGTCACAGCAACTGCAACTCTACCAAAAAGCCATTTACTCTGCACTTTACACATCTTTCGGCTAGTTTGAAATACTTGGTCTGAGAGGACAGCTGTGACCATAAACAAAGGTGTGGGGGTGGGTGAGAGAGAAGAAAAAAATAGATGAAAGGTTTAGAATATTGCTGAGTGGGGCTTTTATCTTTTCATTGATTTGTTGACCTGCTGATGGAGCTGCAGTGGGTCGGTCGGCATTAGTCCAGGGGCGTGGGTTGGTGGGCGGGCGCGCACACACACACACACATACACATACACATACACATACACACAAAATTGGGGTTTGTGTCTGTGTTTCTCACCATGGATACATAAATCTTATCTGCCTCTCTGCTGATGTTTTCAAAGATAAAATCTCTGACTCTATTGTCTCAGCGGTCGTTTGATAGCACTCGCACAGAGTTGGGGAGTCACGGATTACTTGTAACGGCATTATGTAATCAGATACAAAAAAAATAAATGTATTCCTTTACAGAACAGAAAAAAAGATTACAGGTATATTTTGAAAAAAACATGGGGATTACACATAGGGATTACTTTAAAAAAAAGCTATTTGCTTTTTAGGTTTCCTGTAAAAACAAAAACATGCAGCTAGGGGAATAAGGTCGAGGGATTTGTCGCAGTGTAGCCAGTAGTTGAATGTAGTTACGCCCCCATCCCTTCATGCAGACTCTGTGGTGCGGACTGGTGTCAGCTCTCAGTGAGTGAACACAGCTGCCGGACTCGGATCCCGCCGCTGACCTGAAAGCCTGCAGTGTTTGAGTAAAGGTGTAAACCATAGGTGTAAACCTAAACACACACACACACACACACACACACACACACACACACACACACACACACACACTGGTGCTGGTACTCACTGTATGGGCAGAGTAAGCTAGTTTGACCAGTATTTGCAGGCTAACTTAGCTAAGATAATGGCAGCAATGGTTAGCAGCAGTCAGCTGACTTGCTACAGCAACAAGTAAAGCTATCGGTCCATCAGGGAACTCTGTAAATCTCAGAGTTGAGGCAAAGCAGCGGGAAAACAAAATATTTTCCATCAAATATGATCAACTTTCAAGAAAATCAGTGAATAAGTTATGCTTTTGTACAGTAATCAGTCGTGCCCGGTCTCAGAAACACAATTTTTCAGCAGCATCATAAAAATTAAGACAGCTTTTCATTGGATACTAAATTAATACAGGCCCCCCAGTGCAGGATGATTCATCAACATTTTAAAATCGTTTTCCAGGAAATGACACTCAAAATATCATCAAGACTACCAACAAAACAACATTTTTTTGTCATTGATGGGCCAGATCCTGCCATATGACAAATGGGCCCAGTTCAAGGCTTAGCATATATAAAAACATTTAAACATCAATTTTGATTTCATGGGAATGGGATTATAATTGTATGTTTCTCTAAAAATCCACTGAGCAGAAAACACATCTTTGATGGTCTCTTGTCTTTATTTGCATATTTGGCAATGAAGTAATCCAAAAGTAACTAAAAGTAATCAGGTTACATTACTTTTATTTTGTGGTACTTGGATTATGTTACTGATTACATATTTTAACAAGTAATTAGTAATTTTACCAGATTACATTTTTAAAGTAATCCTCCCAACCCTGCACTTGCACAAGCACACAGGCAGCCTAGGTAAAGAATAATAGGTGCCAGTGTTATGTCTAGTGATGGATAATGGAAGTGTAAAAGAGGTAGTATTATGCTTTTTGCCTATTTCCCCTCTCCTTTATTGAATTATATATCTTTTTTTGTGCATGTAATAGATTCACAAAGTAAAAAAGCCCAAAGTCAACCCAAAGGCAGTTCACATCTCCCACAGAAAGCACTGCTCTGAACCGGCTGAAAACAGCTTGTTTGTAGTCCAGCCTTTTCTTCCGCTTTCTTGTAAAATCACAAAAAACACGCGTCATAATGCTCGCCTAGCGGCTAGTCTGGCACACACCGGTGGAAAAACAATGAGCTGCAGCACACAGTGACCGCCTGCTGCCTCTCCTCTCCCTTCTAAACATTAGCTACCCTCCAGGCAGTCAATGGACATAAAGTTGTTACTATGACGTAGAGACAGAGCTCAGTTATAACTTTATGGATGAAAGATACATGTGTTACAGTTTAACAATTCACCACTCTGAAAGTCTTGCTCCAATCCATGTTGCTAAGATGGTAAGGGGAACATGTACAGCTGAACCAAAGCTGTATTTACCGGCTTCTCAGTAGTGTTGTGTTGTTCAAAGAACATTTATTTCATTTGACCTAATCTCATCTATGACTCAGGAGGAACGAGTAGTCTGAAGGAGTAATCCGTTCATTTTCACGCATATGTGAATAGTCTTACGTTCACTCGTCACAAGGCAGCTGCACGGGCTCCGTCAGCACAGGAAACAGAATTGATTAGTTCACGACTCTCAACTGTGGGTCTCTATGTTTAAAGTCATTCATTTGTCACGTGACAGCTCGGCTACTGTGGAGCAGGAATGAACTAGTGCCCTGACAGGGTCCTACCAGGAGCCGAATTACCTCCGAGGGCGGCTGTGGCTCAGGAGGTAGAGTTAATCGGAAGGTCGGTGGTTCAATCCCTGGCTCCCCTGGTTGCGTGTCGAAGTGTCCTTGGGCAAGATACTGAACCCCAAATTGCCCCTGGTGGCTGTTCCGCCAGTGTATGAGTGAGTGTGAATGTTAGTTTCTGTTTGAGCACTTAGGCTCAGTGTATGAATGTGTGTGACTGGTGAATGCAGATGTAGTGTAAAAAGCGCTTTGAGTGGTCGAAAAGACTAGAAAGGCGCTATACAAGTACGGCGCAGCATTTACAGGTAGTCTCCTCTCCGAAACAAACGGCCACGGTCATTAAAACATTAAAACACAGCCACATAGCAACGTTAATGTAAGCTGTAAACACACCACAGGGCTAACAGCTGATCTGGGTCCACCAGAGAACGCAACGTAACTTTACTTTTTATTTATCAACAGAGCCGTGCTGTTGTTTCACAGCTCTTGACTGGTGAACAACCTGGAAGTGTTCCGAGAGCTCATGTTTGTTTCTCTCTGTCAGTAGAATCCGGACCTGATGTGGCCCATTCTGTGTCCAGACCTGCCAAACTGCTGCGTTTATATTATGTATTTATTTCTTTGGTCCTCTCTCTGTGCTGGAGTTCTTTTAAAAACTTGGAGGCTTTATCTAGATT